AAACATATTTTTAAATTTTTTGTAAAAGAATTATTCATAAAATATATATAAGAATATAATATATAAAAGAATATATTTATATTTCAATATAAAATGATTGAGAAATACTAATTTATTTTTTTTAATTCAGAGAGTGCTCTGATAGTATTATTTTGTCATACATTTTTAAATTGTAAAAAAAATTGTAAGCAAAAAATAATTATGTATACATTTTTACTACATAATAATACTTATAGAATATTTAAATTTAGAAATTCATCACCATTTAGTAACAAAATTAAATAATTTACCAAAATATTTAAATATAGACATGCAAATTGACAAACCATATATTAAGCAAACCATATAATAAATAATATAAAAGGAATAAAACATACCAACGTCGCTATTTGTTCCACTAGAATCTTCTTTATCAGATTGAATTTCTAATTCAACCTTTTTAACTTTATTTGGTGTTTCTTCTTCAAATGTTTCTACAGATTCTTGTGTGGTTATAGTATTTTCATTATTTGTTGATATACTATAACAAAGCAATTAATACGATAAAATAAATAAATAATTTTTTTCATAAATAATTATTAACTATTATGAAATATTTATAATACAAACCGTTTCTTTGGTACAGTTGATTGTTTTTTATTAATAATTTGTGGGTGATCTTTCATCCACAACTGTTGTTTTGCTTTTAATTCCTCCAGGGCTGATAATATATTTGTATCAGCAATATCAAATGCAGTTTGATCCTAACAATGTAAAGTTATGAAAGAGACAATTTTGGTTATTCATAAAATAAAACAATTATAATCTTACAGCATAATTCTTAATGTCCATATTACAAAAGTTTTCCACTAAAAGTTCACAGGCTTCCAATTGTCCCCAATGTGCTGCAGCATGTAAAGGTGTCCAACCATCAAAATCTTGAGCATTAACATCACATCTAGCTTGAAGTAATATTCTGTAATATTAGTGATAAATAAACAATAACTTTATTTGATCTTTTTCTGTTATTCATTTTTTTTATAGCAATTTATTTTAATAGAATTTAAAGATTCTTACTCCATGACATCAATGTAGCCTTTAGCAGCGGCAACATGAAGAGCAGTAGCTCCTGATTTAGGATGGATTGAATCTTTACCAGCTACTCCTGATTGCCATGCTCTGGCATCATTTAACATTGATCTTTCTTCTTCACTTCTAGCTTGATCACAATCTATACCTATATAGATTATATAAATTATATATAAATTATAAAATATCTTTTTTTATAATAGTAAATAAAACAAAGACATTTTTATAAAAGAAATACAAACCAGCTTTATTTATATGTTGTTGCAGCATATCTTCCATTTCAACACTTTCAGCAATATCAAGAGCCAATTGACCATCATAATTAACTGCTGCCAAATTACATCCTTTTTCTATTAAATATCTGTAAATAATTTTCTCAAATTTATTATTTTATATAATAATTATTAAATATAAATATTAATTATATTTCCAATATCAAGATAAAAATGATACTAACTTAGCAATAGATATAAATCCACAAGATGCAGTTGCATGTAATGGTGTCCATCCTTCATTATCTCCACAATTGATATCAGCTCCTTTTTCCACTAAAAATTCGACCATATCCAGATCATCATTGATACATGCCTATAATTGAAATATTGTGACTTTTTTTAGTTATATAAGATATAATTAAAAAAATATCTTAAAGACCGTATTTATATATATATTGAGAATAAGATATAAGAAGTTACATAAATGTCAATGATATAATTTTTAAAAATATATTTACAAATATTTTTAATATTAACTTCATTTTGTGTTTATATTATTAAATAATGAAAAAAATTAATATTTTATTGATAAATTTAATAATGCATATAAAATAAATGCGACATTATATAGTAATTTTAAATATAATATAAATTGTTTATTTATTTTATACTTTGAATAGATAAATATAAAATGTTATTTAAAAAATGATGTCACATATAAATTAAAAAGGGCATTATGTATCATAACATTTTAAAACAGAGGACATAGAATACAGATGCTGCAGTCTCTGACTTCTAACAGAGAACTATAAATAGCATTTGATGCCTGATGTATTTTCACATTCTATTTTCGCAAATCCATGAAATGCCTAAACTTCCTCTTACTATCACACTTAAATAATAGTAACAAATGTAATATGTTTCATATAAAATAATTTTATTCTACATTTTTAGATAAGTCATTTTCATCAAGAAGATAAATAAAAGAATAAATTAGTGTTCCATAAATGATTTTATCTGAATTTAGTAATTACATAACTATGATATAATTCATTCAATAAAACTTATAAATTAAATTTAATTCAATAATAATATAAACAAATTATGAAAATTTAAAAAATACATCTAATGATAATTTTCTTTCTTATGAATGTTGCATTTGAATAAGAAAATGTCTTTATTCAAAAATATAATAAAAGTCAATACAATAAAAGTCTTAGTTACATGATATTTTTTATTTAAATTATCAGAAAAAAGTTTAAATATATTTTTAAATATATTCAAAAACAATTAAAAATAATTTTTGAATATTTATAAGCTTTTAATAAATCTTTCTAATTGCTCATGTTCAAATAATACTGGATAAAAATATTAACAGTGAGCTAACTAATATATTCTATTAATTTTTTTCTTAATTTATATATTTTTATCCTTATATATCTTTATATATCTTCAATTTAACTTTATAATTTAAGTATTATCAAAACTCATATTATTAATATTATAATTATAATTATTAATAATTCAATAAGATAATATTCTAAAATAAATTATTAATTAATAAAAAATATATTATAGATATATTATAGATATGCATGTACATTGCGAATGTTTGAATAATGCAATATTTATAATATTATAATATTTATAATATTATATATAATATTTATAATTAATAATTAAAAATAAAAATATTTAAAAAAATATTTTAATTAATCATGTATAGCTATATATGTATACATATTATTTAATTTATCTGTTACTTTCTAAAAATAAAATATTATATAAGATATTTCCCATAATTTAAATAAACAGTTTTTAATAATTTAAAATAATATTTATATGATATTTTATTTAATATCTGTGATAGTTAATATTAACTTAAAAATTAAAGAAATGAAAGAAAATTTATTATCATATTTTAATTAATTTAAAACTGAAATACAATTTAATGATTTATATAATTATAAATGTAAATTATGATGAACATTAAATAAAACAAAAACAATTTTTACATATAGTATATATATTTTTAAAATAAAATGAAAGATTATTATATTTATTTTCAAGATATAGTTTTATTATAATTCGATAAACATGTATGAATAATTTTGCTCATTTTTAAAATTTCATTTATTGTATATATAAACAATAATCATATAAGAGTGGGGGTGAACAGTTTTGTTGACTGTTATCAGAGGGAGTAGTTGTATGGCTTGCGAGAGATAGCGGAAGCGAGCACTTTGTGGCGAAAGTTGCATCTTTTCCTATTATTAAATGTGACATTGTAGATATAAAAAAAAATTTATGGATTATATTAAATTAGATAGCTGAAGCATGTGGCCATCTTGTAATAAAAATTATAATTAAGAACAACATGACGAGAAAGCAAAACTGAAACTCAATCAAGTTTGTTGTCGTAGATAAATGTATCGAAAAAATCATAGATAATAAATATAAATAAAAGTACAGAAGAAGAATCAAGGAATTTTACTTGATGTAATGCTGTAAGACCGTCAACATTTCCGGTGTTGATATCCGCCCCCTTTTGAAGTAAACGTACGACCTCCTCCTTGTCGCCTGCCGCGCATGCTGCCAGAAACACACAATCCGCAGAGAATTTAATCTTCCGTGCAATCTGACGTGGTTGAGTCGGTTCGCGATTTGTTTCGGACTGTTCCCAGCGTTTGAGTTGTTCAGCCCTTTTAAATAGGGCTGAACTCGAACGACTCTCGAGAGACATTGCCCGAAAACACGCACGACTGCACTCAAGAATCTTATAACCACTTCGCACAGTCTCTTCTCTTTCTTTCTCTTCTTCCACTCTCTCTCTTCTCTACGTTTTTAGATTTTAACTTTGCCGAGGCCACTTCACTTCAGTTCACTTTGCGTGATTCGACACGCTGAAACGATCGTTTCTCACTTTTTACCTCCATATACAATTTAGTCGCGGATCGCGTGTTTTTCTAGAAAAAAAAATATACGTTAAAATTCGTTCTGACGGACTATGAAGGGAGCGGTCGGTCGCCTTCACCAAACTCAGTTACAGGACGGCTAGATTCGCGTGCTCTTTGCTATTCTTGGCCGTCCCGTACCGTGTGAGCTGTATGGAAACCAACGAAACAACCTGTAGTATAGCCAACATTTTACACTCTTATGTTTCTAGTGACTATTTAATTGTTTTATATGTTTATCATGTTTTATATCTGTTTTATTATGACTATTTCAAATAATATATTAAAAATAGCAACCTTAAAAAATATTTTTATATATAGTAAAGATAATTAGATTCCATGTAACTACAAAATTATAAGCATAAAAGATTTATTACTTAAAGTATGCTATAATTTTATATATGAAATATTTTGATATATTTTATATATTAGTGTTTAATTTTTAATATTAAAACCTATTTTAATATAGATACATAAGAATACATAAAAAATGTAAAATTTACGGATTTAGAGTACAGATATAACTATTTTTTAAATAACATATTATTTATTTTAATAGTTTTAAAAATAAACTTTGATTTTATATCGTATGTATAGTTACTTTTTTTGTTTTGAAGTTGACATTTATTTTTTTATTTCTCTAGGACCATGAAATCATTTAGATTTTCGTGAAAGTCATTCTTAGTTGAGGTTAATAATAGTTCTTGCTAAAAATTGTAAGCGAAGTAGTTTAAAGAGGTGTTAAAATAATAATTTGTGAACAATGAATACTGAACAAATTCTTAAGTACGATATCAAACAATGTTTAAATTTAATAATAACTGGTAAGAATGGAGATGTTATTGAAGGATGGACCAGACTTCAAAAATTAGAAAGTGAGCCTGTATATGGGCAATTAAATAATTATGAAAATATTTTACGAGAAATACTCAATGATGAAATAAAAAATATACAAGAAGTTTCAAGAATTATGATTTGGTTTTCAAAATATTTGATGGAGAAACCATTTACTGTTCATCCAATTTCAAATGATATTGCAACAATGTTAAGAAATACAGAAATCAGTGATATGTCTCATTTGACAATGATACTTCAAGTATTATTAGAACACAGTGTATATTTACCAGAATCTGTGAGTCATTCAAAACTTTGTGAAGCAATTGTTATTAGTTTGTCTACTTTTGTAATGCCATGTGATCCAAAAAAGATTTCAGAATTTAATGACAATGCTACAAAAGTACAAAACTTTTTAAAAATAGTAAGATCAAAATCTAAAAACATTGAAAATGATAATTTAATTTTCATATGTTTGCAAACATTATATAGAATAATATCTGATACTAAACAAAAACAAGATCCTGGACCTGGTTTAGCTGCTGTATTACAAGTAGTAGAACCTTCTATTATACCACAAGCTGTTAATTGGATTCTTTCTGAATCACATTCTGATGCCCAATTAACTCAAGCTTTAAAAGTTTTATGTAGTTGGCTTCCAAAATGGATAGGTGATCGACTAAGTATTTGGATTATGGAATTTATACTTGGATTAGAAAAAAGACATAAATATTCAATACTTATTGAAGTTACAAAAGCAAAGATTGATGTAATGTTTCGTGCTTTATCTGTACCTGTATTTCGTCAAAATGCTTCCACAATTATATTTTATATATTAAAAAGACAAGGATCTCCAACCTTGTTCAAAGTATAGTAAGAAACACACAAATAGTGATATCTTTTTTTTTAATGAAAGAAGATTCTGAATCAAGCAAGGAATGCATACAAAATTTAGTTGATATTATGAAAATACTTACATTAAGATTTTCAAATCAGCGCGTTTGCAATAATTTAGAAAGTAGCTTTCCAGTTCAGCCACGAATGCACATTATTAAAGAAATATGGAATGAGCATGTTTGGATAGATGAAATGGAAGAAATTGAACCAATAATTGAATCTCCAAAAACACATTTGGGAAAAGTTGGACTTTCAAATCTTGGAAATACATGTTATATGAATAGTGTATTACAAGCATTGTTAATGACTAAACAATTTTGTTATGAAGTATTGATGTACAAACCTTTAAGCAAAACTGATGACCAAATTGTACTTAAAAAATTGCAAAATCTATTTGCTTTGTTATTATATTCAAAAAGGATTTCCTTGGCTCCAACTGAAGTTTTATTAGCTTCACGTCCTGCTTATTTTCTACCGGGTCAACAACAAGATAGCTCAGAATTTCTCTGGTTAATATGTTATTAATATTTTAATGCTTATTTTTTTTATTAGAATAATAATTTATAATTATTTATTAATTGTTTATTAATAAAAAAATATTTAAATTTTAAATTTTACATAAAAAATATATTTTGAATGTTTAAATTAACATTACATTAATATTTAAAGTAATATTTGAAAAAAATGTTTTTGCTAATTATTTATGATTTAATTATAATATTTAATTTTAATTAAAATATCTTTTTATGTAATTTAAATAATTTGTTATTTTTCAACAGTCATCTTTTAGATCTTTTACATGAGCAAGAAAAGTCAACTACTATAAATGCTGAAGCTAATTCTAATCTTAAATATAAGGATGATAGAGAAATAAATGATATTTCATCAATAAGTGAGGAAGGAGCTAGTATTAAACGTTGGACAACTGAAGAAGATTTAAGTGGAAGTATTGTATTAGAAAGAAAAACACAATCATTAGCAGATTTTACTCATGGTATTTTCTATTCTTTAATTTTTTTTGTTAAAATGTTTATGTAACAATATTATTCTAAGTATATTTTATATTAAATTTATATTATTGCAGGTGAAGATTTAGCACAAGTACAGGAACTTAGTGATTCACATTCGGATTCTACAGATAGTGGAATACAATCTGTAGGTGGAGAAGATACAAGTACTCAAGTACCTCTTGTGCATAGAGTATTAGGAGGAAAATGTAAAATTACTTATCAATGTGCTCAATGTGATACTAGTTCTGATAATACTGATAAATTTCGCGATTTACAATTATGTTTCCCAGAAGAAATTCAAGAAAATCAGGAAGTTTCTGTTCAAGATCTTATAAATTATTATCTTACACCAGAAAAATTAACTGGTGAAAATAAATATCGTTGCGATAAATGTATGAAGTTATGTGATGCACAAAGAATTATAAAAATTTTGCATGCACCTACATATTTAATTTTAATATTGAAACATTTTCGTTATGATTTTGATACGAGATTAAGAACAAAATTACGGCACAAAGTGATGTATAATGAAACTATACAATTACCAGTATCAACAGCATTATGCACAACTACAGAAAATTATCAGTTATATGCAGCTGTTGTTCATTCGGGTTATAGTATGGATTACGGTCATTATTTCACTTATGCTCGGGATTCGAAACAAAATTGGTACAAATTTAATGATAGTTATGTTTCACAAACGACATTTAATGATTTTAAGGATTTAAAACCACCAGATACGCCTTATATATTATTTTATGAAAAAACTGTGCCATTTGAAGGACTTTATGATGAAGATAAACCCGAATTATTAACATTAAATAAACATTTACAAGAGCTAGTGGCAAATGATACTACAGCTTATATTGAGGAATTGAGACATCAAGCTGAAAAATCTCAACGCGGACGGCATAATTCAATATTATTTCGAAAGAATGAGAATTCCGATGATGAAAATCCTCCACCTAGTAACTGTCGGGGTGCAGTTAATATGCCTGCGAGTCGTTTCCTCTATTGAATTATTTTAACATGAAAATGATTATATTCTTTTATAAAATTAATTAATTGTTCCAGGTAAATTTGTAATACATTTTCCTTATGTTAGTAAGAAAGTTAACAGTTCCTTTACAAGTACAGTGCTATTATATCAATTGGTGTAAACGCATTCAAGAACAGTATTGTATGAAAATTTTTACATATTTATTTGTTGTAGTTTTAATAAACTTTCTGACGTGTATTGTTCTAGAATTTCTATATATGTAGAACAAATTTGTACATGATTGTATATTTCACAATTATTTTTAATATTTGCATAATATATAAAGAAAAATAGGCAAATTGTTAACATTAATATTACAATATTAAAATATTGTAAAATATATATAATGAATTTTCGCGAATTGTATTTAATAATTTAGTATACTGTTTCTTATGAATTTGAAACAATATTTTTCTTTTAATGTCATAATGTATTAAATATAAGATTAAAAAAGTACATTGTTATTGGATTTGGAAAGTGTATTATAAAATTGTAATGGAAAGAGAATACAAACTCAGTATTTTTTAAGAAATTTAATATAATTGGCTGTGTTTTTACATAATGTATGCAAATAGAAAACAGTATTTATGTAATATTCAAAATACTATCAATTTTATAATCATATTTTGTCATGTTTTCGCACACAATGATTTGATATCCATTTAAACAAATGCCTTTTGTCATATAAAAAGATAAATGTTGTTTATTAAGCAATTTTTTACTAATATTTATTTTGAGTTCTAATATTCATTATTTGTAAATTGATAAATATAATGTACATAAATTTATAACATATTTGACAAATGGTAATTGTATTTACATAATTGTGACAGAATTGATCAATGAAATTTGAAATTTTGTTAATTATTGTTAAAATAATAAAATTAAAAGAAAGTGTAAAAATGATATCAGCTATTATTGTAAATAGAAATATTTTAATTGTAGTTATCTTAAAAAAAAAAGAAAATAACTCCAAGCATTACAAACTGTGATAAATTTATATACTGTCAAATTGATAATATTAATTTCTTAGTTTAATATTCAATAGATAAAAAGTACAGTATCAATCTTAATTTATAATTGAAATATAATAGTATACAATATTTATTAGATTTTATGTATTTATAAATCTCTTAGTATATAAATAAATCATACAAAATTATTCTTTTGTAATAGACTTAATACATTGTATTTATTATTAATCTAATATTTCTAGTAGTTCTAAAAAACAGTACAAAGAGAATATATATTTATATATTTACAGAATAAAAAATAATAATCAATGAATATTTTATTGCACAGTTATATGTATTATTGTTAATGATATTATTAATGAGATTATTTATATATGATGCAATTGTTTTCTGTTCATTAGTTTAATAATATAAATTAAATATTAAAAATTTACTAAAATACAATTAAAAATAATAAAATGATAACATACGATTATACCTATTGCAGTATAAAATTATTTGTTATTCTATTTTTATTACGTATAGTCGAAATAAAATATAATTGAATTCAATATTTCATCAATTTTATATTATGAATTATAATCAATTTTAATATTGCCAATATTTAATTTAATGTATTAATAGTATTTTTAATATTTTTATCTCGGTATGTCACGTTATAATTAAAGATATATATATTGATAACAATGCATTCATTCAATGATTATGAATTTATTTACTTTATAGTAGATTTAATAAGGAACCACTATCTGCTATCTAGAATATATGTACATTATGAAGTACATTATTTTTATCGTTTGATAGATCTTTCTTTAAGCTAGATGGTTCATTTGTTTTCCATATGCCTTGCCATCATCATGAAGAAAATATATTTAGCTGTTTTTGCTAGTAAGTTTTATCAAATTTATTATTACGTGTATTATTTTATTACATTATTATTGTAAAGTTGCTAATATACTGAAAAGAGAGTAAAAAATAGCGTTGAATAAAATATTGTTTAATATTCTCAATTGATTATTAGGTAATGTAGGTATGATTTCATATGGTTTATTTTTTGGCTGGCCATCACCTTCATTGTCTCTTTTAATGCAAGATAATAGTCCTATATTTTTAACGTCACAACAAGCTACATGGGTTACATCCATTTTTACCATGGGTGCGGCTGTGGGTGCAATACTTTGTACTTATATTATAAATATAATTGGTAGGAAATTGACTTTACTTTTCACTGCGATACCAATGATAATAGGATGGATGATGATTGCTTTTGCAACGTCAGCATGGGTAACTTCTATTAAATGTGTATATTTCATTACTATACAAACGTGTTAATCAAGAAAAGAATATAATTTTATGAATTTTACAATTACGATAATTTTTCAATTAAAATGATTCTACGATTAGTCTGCAATTTATTGTTTTATTTCTCAGAGATACAGTTAATACTTTAAGCCATATAGATATGTAGATATTACTGATATAATTGATATTAACACTATGAGATATGTAAATATGCGTATCGAGTACGAATTTAATACTTTTCTTACAATTCTTATAATAAACATATCTCGTATTATATTAAATAATAATCGATGATTTTCGAATTTTTAAATATAAAATTTTCATTATTTATAAAAAATTTATTTTTCTTTCTTAGGAATTAATTGTTGGTAGATTTTTTTGCGGAATAAGTAACGGAATTGGATATGTGTCTACCACTATGTATGTAGGTGAAATTTCACCGGCTAAAATAAGGGGAATATTAACTTCATCATTGACTCTAGCTGCAAAATTTGGTATATTGATTGAATGGGTGATAGGACCGTTTCTCTCTTTGAGAGATCTCGCACTTGTGTCATTATCAATACCAATTCTCTTCTCGGTGATTTCGATATCATTACCGGAATCTCCGTATCATTTATTGCGCCATGGGAAATATCAGGAGGGAATTACATCTCTTATGCATTTAAGAGGAACTACGGATGTTTCTAAAGAAGCTGAAATCATTGAGAAATATATAAAAATTGATTTGGCTAATAATACTGGATTGTGGGAATTAATCAGCGTCTCAGGAAATCGGAAGTATAGTATAGTATATCATATTTTTGAAATCTTTAAGTGATTTTAAATATTCTTAACACGATTTCAATGATGGTCAAATAATAACTTCTTTTGATTTCAAAGGTGAATATTTTTAATTTCTTTTATTTTGTAGAGCGTTAATAGTTGTACTGGGTTTGATCGCGATTCAACAATGGAGTGGCAGTATGGCGATACTTTCGTATGCCGAAATAATTTTCAACGAGATGAAAAACGAATTTGAAGGCAAATACCTGACTATGATATTGGGTGGTATCCAAATAGTATGTGCGGCGATCAGTGCATCTGTGGTGGATCGGTACAATAGAAGGACTTTACTCATATTTTCAGCATCGGGCGTTTTTATTTCCACTTTCCTTATTGGTTTATCTTTTTTCCTTCGGGAAATGCAATTAGACGTCAGTGGAATCATTTGGTTACCAGCTACTGGAACGATACTTTACATTATCATGTATGCCTTCGGCTTGGCTGCACTTCCATTCACCATGATGAGCGAAGTTTTTCCTACGAATGTTAAAGCGCTTGGCAGTACAATTGGAATGTTATGCTGTTATTTTTGTTCTACTATCGTGACTCTCACTTATCAACCTATTGCTATTCAATATGGGACATATATCGCGTTTTGGTTCTTTTCTTTCACCACTATCGTGGGTATCATTTTTATATATTTTTGCGTGCCCGAAACGAGAAGAAAAACATTGCAAGAGATACAGGATCAATTGCATGGATATAAATTATAATTAAGAGTTTTAATTTTTTTATCATCTAAAATGAAAAGGTATGTATATATCTAAATTTTGAAAAAAATATTACCTTTATGTTAAGAAATTTAGGAGAAACTTATAAAACTTATATTCGATAGATAATATCTTCTTGAATTGTGAATATAGATTCAATTTAATATTGCTTTTAATATGGATATTCACCTTGGACGCACATCACATTTGCTAGAAATTTTAGAGAAACCAAGTTCGTTACAGAACATAGTAATTGTTGACGAGATAACTTGGATCGTTTCCATATCACAAATTGGAGATTTAATTAATGGATTCATAGAACTGCTTCTGGGAAATCATATAGACAAGAGAATGTTACTCTGATTATTAATGCTGTCCTTGTTTGATTCAATTTGATAATTTACAAAACAATTATTTTAAAATTTAAATTTGTTTGACGGAATAAATTGTCTTAACAAATCAATAATTTATTATTTTTTCTAAGATAATTTATATACTTATCACAAATATTGGTTCTAAAATATATTTTTCATTAATATATAGAAATTGATATTTTTGTCCTCACATTTAAAAATTATTTAAGTCAATTTATTATATGATCAAAATTTTGTCAATTTTTATATATATATATATATAAATATATATATTTAATTCTTATTTTTGCAAAATATTTATTGTTGACCAATGAATTGTTGTATCATTATAAATGTTAGATATAAATAATGGCAACAAAGTTCATTTAACTTTGTGATGGTTTACCTGGGATATATTTTATAAAATAAATATTATTAATGTATTTTATTCTATTTGTTATAGTTAGTTATTTCTATTTATTGTAGTTCAAAACGTAATATTATAATGATGATTATAGTAAAACACTTTAGCGAATCGTTATCGCGGCTCGTTCACCTTGTCTGCAAAGAAAAGACTAATAGAATACTTTTATCTATGCAATTATATTTGCTGTGAAACATAATTTTATTTCCTCGTAGAAACGTTCAGGTGGCAATTGTCAATATGTCAAATATAAAACTTTACTTAGTTACTTTTGTTGGTAAGAAAAAATGCTATAAAACACGTCAATTATTCGTTTGCAAGTTCAATACCAATAATCGTTCCGATAAGACAGTGTGTTTAGCTCAACTCAACGGTGGTCTATTTTTGGGATGGACGTCCCCAATGATAATCGATGATCTTCCCTTCGAAATTACTACGAACGAGGCTTCCTGGTTAATGTCAATGTTCAAACTAGGAATGTCATTCGGATGTTTCGTTTCGATATTCATCGCTGACTTTATAGGCAGAAAAATTTCAATATTACTAGCCATCATTCCTACGTGCTTAAGTTGGTTACTAATAGTATGGAATTCAACGACAATGGTATATTCTTGTTTTCAGAATACATTGTATTCATTAAATAATTACATTTAAGCTTTTCTTTCATATTTCAAGAGCACAATTTTCAATATTTACACCATAACTCGGTTCTCTATTTTTCACAAGTAATTTACAAGTAATATATTGATACTTATCAAACGTAATTTTTATTATTTTCAGAATCTGTACATCGCACGTTTCATAGGCGGTATAGCCAACGGCATAATTTTCACGAGTGGCTCTATCTTCGTGACAGAGATCTCTCCTACGTACATTCGCGGTGCCTTGTGCAGTTGCTTCATATTAATGGATTATTGCGGTAACCTTTTGGGCTATGTAATCGGCTCGCTTGGCACTGTGCAACAATATTCTTATGTGGCGTTGTCGTTGGCAATGTTGCAATTTGTGATGTTCATCTGGTTCCCGGAAACGCCTTATTACTTGTTGCGCCAAAAAAAATTCGAGGCCGCTATGGATTCTTTGATATTCTTACGTGGTACGGCTGATATTAGCGAAGAAATGGATTCGATCATGGCATGGGACGTTGGTAATAAAGGAACGTTATCTTCCATCTTCGATCTAATATCTCAATCAGGTAGATTATATTTTGAGTAAAATTTTGAGAAAAATCTTATATCTATTCGCAAAATATATTAAATATTTGATGTTTCAGGTGGCAAAAAGGTAATCTTTATCAGTATTGGTATAATGATGCTGCAAGCATTCTCAGGCTCGATCATTCTTATTGGCTATCAAACGATCTTCGAGAATTATAACGATGAATTGCAAGAAACTTATACCAACATCGTTTTAATAACGGTGCAGCTGATCACATGTTTAGTGTGTATCAGTTTAGTGGATCGTTTAGGAAGGAGACCTTTGATGATTATATCCACAGTAGGCGTTTCCAGTTTCAGTTTTCTATTGGGCATTTACTTTTACGTGCAGGAAAACTCTGTATATACTATGGATCTACAAATATTACCTCTGGTAGCGATATTATTTTACGTTGTGAGCATCTCGTTGGGATTGGCCATTGTGCCCTACGTTATTATAAACGAAATATTTCCTATATACGCGAAAGTAACGTGCATCAGCTTTTGTTTCTACGTAAACTTTATGTGGTCGTTCATTATGTTGCGTATTTGGAATGTCGTCGTGTTGGAATATAATGCATATTCTATTGCATTCTTGTGCATCTCTGCGCTAAACGTGTTTAGTATTTTTTACCTAGTGTTTTATTTACCAGAGACGAAAAGAAAATCGTTCTTGCAAATTAGAAAAAATTTCATCGAAGGGTGAAGAAATGATTAACAAGGAATATATCAAATTAAGTATTTTGTAGATTTATAATTAGTCGAAGAAGTTGTTATAAGTTGTAGAAAATAAGAATACCACCGATTTAAAAACCACATAAATTATTTTATTGAAAATGTTAGAACAGCCTTTCATATGTCCACATCGGACTTCTATATAAACAGGTACCAACACGATGAAATTTACAATAATATGTACATTTATATGAATATTGATTAAGAAACGCACTTGTTTCTTTCATTGTTCCTTTTTTTTTTTTTTTTTCCTGTAAATATTCGGACATTGCAATAAAAACCAAGGGGCAAGCGTTAAATCGACGGAATACGAAATGGATGATTTTTAAAAAATTGCATTATAAAACAAGAGAACATTCTCTTTTCTCCCGAAAATATACATTTGTCTAAAAATTTATAATACAAAAATACAATTGATCAACTTCGTATATTAGTCACGCCAATTTTATACGCCTGTTTGATATATTCTTGTATTCATTTGCAAGCATAGAAGCATGGTTCATCATCAAAATTCATTTCGTAAACAGAGAATTAAGCTATTGTTTCTCCTGAAATGGTTCACGTGTTATCGAAGCGTCCATCTTCAATTGGATGATCAATGTTCATTATCGCGGTAATAGAATGGTGTCAATATTGATCGACGGTTGTGCAAACGTTTATCGTTACATTCGATTTGATCGCCTTTGACTTTGCCACTATGGCTATCGCGATAACCCAAAGAACATATGTTAGCGTTTCAATTCATTCCCGTGTGACATTAAGCCATCGATCTCACGTTTATTATTCTTTCCATAAAACATAAACTGAACGACATAAATTTTTCACGAGATAATTATCTCATCATTGGGCGATTCTAATCAATTTATCCAAACCTATTACGAATTTCGTAAACAAGAGAAAGAACCCGTTAAAGAATCGAGTCGAGAAATACCGTTACTTTGAAACTCGTAAAGTTGGTAAATCTATTAAATCAACGATTGACCATTGATGCTCTTAATTCTCTTATCTCGCACATAGACCAACTTGAGAACATCCCTTACGTAAGATAAATTATTCATTGGCGATGTTGGACCATTGTTGGCAAGTAAAACGTATTTCTCCAAGAGTGAAGGAAAGTACCAGCAGTAAAATGGCAATAAATCTTGCCATTAAGAGTTCACAGTCGGTTAAAACAAGACAGATTTCTTGGATTCACTTCAGGTATCTTGGCTATTGCTGGTTTTCTGAGATTGATCGACCGTCATAGGTTCCTCGAATTTCAACGAGGACGATGATGTCGTGTATTCGTTCTCTGCTTCCATTTTAAGCACCAACACCGTGATTGGAACTTCTGAAACACATATACACACATAGACACGAGCACAGTGTGAGAATGCGATGTTTCGAAATTGTTGATTTGTTCACCGTGAAAGGGTTAAGTAACACGAGACGCAGACGGGAAAGCCTAAAAGCACACGTTACACGCGGACACATAATTTCAACATCAAAGGCATTTCCAATGGAATTCTGCCCCCATAAATGGTAAAGCGAGTTTTACTCATGTCAACGTACATGTTCGTACATTTAAGTAACGATTCAAAGCCCGACATTCGCTCGAAATAACTAATCTACTCTTCGATCGATTTGTATCAATATGCATCAACGAATTTATGTTAATGATATAGTTGTCTGATCAATTCTCGATAACGCTACATAAATTAAAAATTCCATATGATATTGTATTCCTGAAGTTTATTTCCATCATTATCGGATTGTTTGCATCCAATCTGATTTTCCTTACTTATTAACGTAATTTTGCGCCTTTGCATACAATAATAATGACGTTGTGACATCGTTTACTTTATACCATTGAAAGAAAACAGCAAAAAAAGCATCGGTTACTTCGTTGTATCAAAGAATGCGTGAAAGATGGAACAAAATAGTTAATCGAAACTTACTTAAAAAAAAAAAAAAAAGAAGAGAATTGTAAGATTCCTTTATAGATAAACTGTGAATTTATTCTAAAAAGATACCAAATTAATTTTTAAAACGACAACAATGCACAATACGTAACATTTTAAGTAATATAAGATCGTTCGAATAAATCCACAATTGACTTTACCTTCGCAACTCCTGCAATTCGTAATTTCTTATTCATTCAAAGGAATTCAATTGGTGAAACAAAATCTTCGAGAATTTTTGAATTAGAACACGTGCATAGGCGAAAAGCGAGCGCTTACCGGATTTTCCCTTCTGATTATCGGACGTTGTGTCAGGGAATTGGACGTGTTTTCTCGACGATCGTCCTGTGACAGGACTCTTATCCAAGGAGAGGGTGTTCTGACCCGCGGTAGGGCTCTGCGTTGGCGTTGCGGTCGCTTTGGTTTCGTTGTTGGTTGCCGCCCTACGAGAACTCGGGCAAGACGTGGCGGTTGTAGTTGGCGGCTGAACGGCATATCTCACTGCTGGAACCTTTAAAGGTCGCTTCATAAGATCCATTTTATAATTGAATTTCGACGCGATGGTCTTTT